TATCTTCGCCAGAACCTGAACTGAGCACTTACCTCAGAATTGCCGCAGTTGAAAACAGATGCAAGAATATTTCTCAGGCACAAAGACTTCAAAGAGCAGAATTCAATTTACACATATTTACTGCACGATCGTACCGTCTGTTAATGACTGAAACACGATACTTTGTATCGGCCGCTAGTTAACACTTACGAAACACGCGTTACTTGGCCCCTCGCCAACGGCACAGATCTGGTCTACCTGAACTTCCTGCCCCAGTTGAGACACACAGTCGGTGGTACTTAAAATGGTGAGGTTCGCTTTCTTGAGAACGTCAGACGCTGCACCATTCTGAAAATGGAGTTAGAAACAGCGAGATCTAGAGAGCTCAAAGCAATGTACGTAACAAGTCAGTCAGAGAATAAATACGAGGCGCGTCCCAAAAGTAAGTTTCCCACTCGTCCCACAGCTAGCAAACCTTATATTGCGCGAAGCGACTGTGCGTACGTGATAGAGCAATGACGTAGCATGGCGCATGCACTAACGGCACCTCCCGCGTTCTCACAGTAGCATCGTTGCAGCTGTTGAAGATGGAGGTTCTTATTCCAGCCCCCGCCGACTGTGAAGTGCGGTCAGTGATAACGCTAGGCCGCACACGGCTCGACGGACAGCAAGTCTCCTGCAGGAGTTCAGCTGGGAGGTGTTTGATCATTCACCCTACAGCCCGGACCTCGTTCCCAGTGATTTCCATCTTTTCCTACACCTCAAGAAATTCCTGTCCGGTCAGTGTCAGCGTTTTGAGAATGACAGAGAGGCGGAGATGGTTGTCACACAGTGGTTCCAATCCCAGGCGGGCGACTTCTACGACACAGGTATTCAAAAGTTGGTCCCACGGTATGACCAATGTCTCAATTCCGGTGGCGAATATGTTGAAAAATAGCTGGACACTTGCTGTATCTGTTGCAATAAATATTTCCATGAAATTGTGTTTTGTTTCTGTAAACGGCCCCAGGGAAACTTACTTTTGGGACGCACCTCGTAGCGCAGGAACCTTTAAATAAACAACATAACAATCACAGAGCAAATGAAGTACAGAGAGACAATTAAATATGCAACTGAACAGCTCAGTTGATTGGTGGACGCATGAAATTGAAATGTGGAGTTACAGAAAAGGAAACTGTGTGAGAGTCATTAATTAGAAATAAACACAAAAATTTTTTCAGAATATCTTGACTCCGAATGTTATTTCATGCTTACCCAAGTATCTGATCCCCACCCAGTGAAACTGCACTGGCTTCTCAGAGCAACATTTGAGCTCCTCAATTTTACGACGTCCACAGAAGGCTGTCCGATATTTTGGGTCTGGGCGAGCTGTGAATGCACACATCATTTGTAGAATTGCGGTGAGATATAAAGACTAACTGTAAAACCAGGAAACAAATTAAACTTGTAACCAACGAGTTTTCCCACGTAAGTGGCCCAAAGTCGCATCCTCTTTACGATATCATTACAAAGTCCACAAAAGCTTACAAATGGATCTTATACTGGGTGAGTTAAATCCATTCCTGACCCAAACATAATACTTCTCAAAGATACATTTTAATATTATATTGAACTCTCAAACATGAGTAGTTCTTCCATGTCATCTCTTCAATTTACAATTCCCAACCAAGAGCAAGTGTCGTCCTCGGTGGACTACAAGTGGTTAGCGTGCTCGCCACTGGACCCAAGGTTCGCGGGTTCAAACCTGGCCGAGGACGATGGATTTTTAAGGGGTGATAAAATTCTGTAGTACAACTTCCTTCGGAGGGGAAGTAAAGCCGGTGGTCCCAAGTCGTAGATTTATGGCACGTAAAGAAATCTCGTAAAGGAACTTTGTAAGCAAAATTCAGCAGCGGCCATTTCTCACACAAGTCTCTCCTGATTCTCTACTAGATGGCTCTAGCAGATAAAATGAGGATTGAGTAAGAATTGTGCAGAGGCCGTGGGCTGTGTTCCGTGATTATGCACGGACTCGAGGGCAAATATGAATTGGTACTGTGTATGATTATGAATGGATAGAAAGGCAACGATGAACTAGTGTACTGGAAGGCAAAAATTAATTGTTTTTTTATATAAATGTGAATAAATTAGACAGCAAAAGTTGTTACGATTATGTATGAATTGAGGAGGATACTAAATTGATGACGTGCGCAATGACACGCAGATTGGACGGAAACAATAAACTGGTGTTGTGTTTGACTTTGTGTGTCCTGGAGGGAAACAATAAATCGTTACAGCATGCGTTTCGGTCGTTGGAATACAGGACTCCCACTTTCACATATTCTACTGTATGGATCGTTAGTTATAACCTAACCTGCAGAACAGCCAAATCATTCACCCTTCCAGATATATCGTATGCCTCATGAACAAAGATGATGTCCACGTCAACCACTTGAGACGGGGGCTCCGTAGACAGCTTGACGTTGCCGACGACGACCTGTATATCAGAAGCGGTCCCTCTGGGAAACAGACAGAAACAATTACACAACAAAGTGAATTAGATTCATTTCATTTTACATCTAACATTTTCCATGCTGAGTTTTACGTAAAGGAATGTAATTGGTTAGTATAGCCTCTTTACACAGTTAAGTACAACTTTTATTATTGAAAAGCCACAAATACTGTAATTTGTTTCGTAACTGCTCAGAGAAGGCTGGACATTTCTTTCTTTCATCTTAGCAAAGAACAAATGAATCCAGACGAGAAAGGCCCGTGATTTGGAACGTCATATCACATACATAGTATTAAGGCAAGTAGAAAGCTGTGATCACGAAAGATTTCTTTCTTATCGGTTTGGTCGTAAGATATTTTTTACAAAGAACAGAGTCTGGAAAGTTACTTTTCAAATTTCAGCCACATTTTTTAGATCACATATGTTTCTAGCTGATGAGCAATTCAAATATCGGCATGACAAGATATGCAGTTATGCTTTATATTTGTCAGCGGGGCTCCGGGAGGGGAATGTGGAAAAATCCTATGGGCACAAGTCGAGAACAGCTTCTGTACAAAAGAACAGGAAATTCCAACACTTCGGAAATGCAAATTGCTTGACTGAGGGAGGATTCACTTATTGTACCTATTACAAAACAAGATTCAGACACTTTTAAACACCCTGATGTGTGTAGTGCAAGTCTAATTTGCTGCATCCTGTACACCAGGGGTCATCAATCTTTTTATACCTGCCGCCCACTTTTGTATCTTTGTTGATGGTAAAATTTCCCTACCTCCCACCTGTGCGGCACGTACTGCCTACCACCATGAAAGAGGTACAGCTCGAAGACTGAGTGACGGCCGGTGGTAAGCCCCCTCCCTCGTTATGCCCACTAAACTCGTGCGTTTGGCTACAGAGCTCATTCGTTCGTTGCTCCTTCGTCCACGAGTATACTTCGAGAAGTTCCGGTGAATTATTATCTATATCCAAATTTTAGAGATAGAATTCAAATGTAAATTGCAAAAGCATATTTTAAAAAGTCAAACTCGCGAAGTTGTTAGCAAAGTATTCGATACATGGAGGAAGAACAAAATTTGTAACAACGGACAAAAACCCCCACTGCCCACCACGAAAACTTGAATCGTCCACTAGTGCTGTACACCTTCCCAAAATTCCTATTTTGTATCAGAAATGTTGGTGTAAGGATTAAGGTCTGGTGACCAGAGCCTCAGTACCATGACGAATCTAATGTTGAGGATAATGAATGCCCAATCACTCCTGACTGAAATGTGCTGGAGCGGCAGCACGCAGTAACCACATTCATTGCCACGCGTGCAAATTAACATCCTCAAACAATTTATGCAAATGTCTATGGAGAAACTGGAGGTGCTGAGGAAAAGTAAGTTTTGCAGGCGTGACACAAGGACCAACGCAGTGACATCCTACGCCTTGTGGCGCACACTGTGAAAAACTGATGTTGGTTACGTCCAGGTCTTGTTGCATGCGGATCGACTTCTGCGCACATATGCCAACCGCGGAAATTCAGTGCCATCTGTTACGAAGCCGCGCTCATATGCGTACGATTCTCCTTATAACGTTGAAACACACAGTAGACTGACGCAGACAAACAAGGAATTCATGACAGCTGGTAGAAGCGAATGAACCCATTTTACACGGTATGGATAGAGTTGTTGGTCGTCTAATGTTCGATATCTCCAGTCATACAGAGATAGTATTTTAGTGCTTATACTGGGACATTTGCTACCCGCGTTGTCTACGATATTTTATTCCAAAATTGTGATGTGGACACTTTGTGGATGACCAGCACAAACCACTGTTCCTGTTCTATGAATTCACTGACAAACACAAAATAAAGTTTTACAGTTCGCTACACTGCAATGCGTTTATGCGATAAGTGCGTAATCTACTGCAATTTGAGAACTGACTGACACTGTTAACATCAGCACTTGGTACTCATTTTTTAAGGATAAAATGTAAACATTGCGACACATTATACGTAAATGAAGCTTTGTGAATCCTGCAGACAGAACTGGCCTCACAACACGATGACCTAAAAAAATTTAATTCTCTGTAACTATCAACAGCTTTCCATATCGACGGTCACTGGAACTTTCTGACTCAAATTGAACTTCTCCTTTCATTTACAGCAAAATTTATATATAAAGCAGTCTCATTAAATGCCATGTAGGCGTTTGGGGTGAGTGGAGGTATAGCTCCTCTCTTCCTTGACCCCGGCACTAGATGGGGGTGAGTGGTCAGCATCACGCCCCGGCCGAGCTTTACCACCGGGAAAGGACCCCGGTGCAGAGGAGGATGGGTGGGGCCCCAGAGCCGGTCTGGATGCAGAGGCTGGAGGAAAAATCCTCTGCCCCCGTCAGGGATCGAACCCCGGTCGTCCAGCCTGTAACTAGTCACTATACTGACTGAGCTACGCCGGCTCGCATAATTTATATAAACAGTCTGTAAGATACATGTAAGTAATCATATAATACAGATTTTTTATTTTATTTAGTGTTCTGTCTGACGACAGGTCCATATGAACAGGATCCTTCCATCCTTTTCTCGGACTGGGACCTGTTCATATACGTTTTTGGCAGATGATCCAGAAGTGGTTTTCCATTGCCTTCTTCTGTGTGTGAATGGAGTAATTGTTGGGATGGCACGGAGGAAAACTCCGTGTTGCCTAGACCACGGCCTTGCCCAACACAAGTTATAAATTCGAACCCGAGACCCCAGGATTACAAGGCCAGCGTTCTAACCGCTAGACCACCGTGGATAATACAGATATGCTCTATGAATAGAAATTAAGGATTTTAGATTGAAAGATTTTAATGTAAAAGCTGGATGAATTGCCCAATTGACAATTCTGATTAAAATTTTATTTTTTGAAAGAGAAAACATCAAATGGTATTTCAGAGACAACTGCAGCCTCGTGGGAATGAGTAATTAAAACTTTAGTTAGATGGGGCACGCAACGAAAAAGAGAAATGCACACAAGATTTCGGTCAGGAAATCTGAGACCACTTGGAAGACAAATGTGTAGATGTGAGGAAAATATTAAGATGAATCTTGATGAGAGTGAGTGAAAGGGGGTGAACTAGATTAATCTGGCTATAGTTACAGACTGGTGTCAGGCTTTTGTGAACAGGGTAATGATCCTTTGGGTTCCATAACAACAGAAACAACCTTAACTAACAAGGCAACTGTTTCACTGAATTAGAAAATTACCAACAGAATTGTAAACATTCTGAAAAAAGACAAAACCAAGAACTGTAAAATACAGATATTTTGAAGTGTAACTTACAGGTTAGCACAGTATGCCGATGTGAGCACAGAATTCTTTCCGATCAGAGCACCTCCGCATCGGAGGGTTGCAGTTCCTTTTGCAACGATGGCCACCTGAAATTTGATTTCAGATGCAAGTCAGAAAATTTTGTGTAAAAAATGTCACACTGAAATTGTGGATTGTGGCTATCTGATAACGTCTCCAAAATTCTGGAAACGAGCTGAGCATTAATATAACTTATTAGTTCCAGTCTGATACAATTAAAATGTTAATCACTTCCATTCCACTTTCATTTCCCTTCCACTGATGTAATTAAGATGCTAATTCCAGTCAACTCGTTCGAAATCAAGATTTTTCTTCCTGATTGAAATAAGCTGCAACTTTTATAATTTTACTATCCATTTCCAGATATGACGATTCTTTCCTTCCGTTACCCTTACTTTTTCATATACTTGTTTCTCATTGCTGGTTACAAGTTAAATTTTGTTAATGGGTTACATGTTAAATGGAATATTTTTTATTGTAATAGGAAATTTTTTTTTGTTGTTTTATGCATAATAGCACCATCCTCAGTGTAATGGACGCTTCTAACCTTAAAAGTGTAGAATTAGCATTAAAATTAAAATGTATTTATATTACACAGATCCTTCATAGTACAATCACAATGATGTGGAATATGTCATAGCTTGAATATGAATACTTAGTACAATTAAATAACACAGCAAAATTATAGTTACTTGAATATTATAGCTATTTACATAAAATTAAAATATTTACAGTATTTAATACTTTTCACTTGAAGTAAATTCTTCTGTAAAGAAGGAGTGAGATAAAAATAATCTTTTAATGTTATCTTAAATACTTTCAAATCATGATTTAAATTTGTAATACTGCTTGGGAAAGCAGTGCATAATTTGATCACTGCAGAGTGAGGAATTTTCTAGTAACTAGTGAGGTTAGAATTCAGCTGATGGATATCATGCATATGTTTTATATTTATTATCAATATGTCAGAGTTTGCTTGAAATGTCATGTACATGTATGCACATACATATGTGCAAGTGAAATTGGATAATCCATTATTCATATTACTATCTTAATGTTATTCCTTACCTGATAAGGGAATTCGTTACTAGTGGCATTTGCACCATCGGCAATTCTGGGTTCTGAATTTCGTAAAGCTGAAGATTCTTCATTCTTCGTACCGAGCCTTAGTGATACAGATGCTGCGAACAAAATTAAAATTGTGATAAACTCTATTTATAATTTCAAGACTTAAGAAAACTGAAAGCAATAATATCAAACGGAAGAAATTCAAGTAAATAATTTTATTGCAAATTGTGTGCGCTTGTGCAAAGTAATACCTCAACTTGAGGGCACTATGAAGTTCAGTAAAATTCTGAACAGATTTATAAGGATATTATGTAACTCGTTCTCCAGAAGAGTCATACAGTGTACGACCCAAAACCCGGAAGTACGTAAAATTACTTCTCACTGATTTTCTACAGACCAGCGCCATTTTCCTGCGCCTATCACTACCACACGCAAGTGGCGGCAGGAACGCAGGGAGATGTATTTCTTCCAATGTCGTTATAACATTCGGTAGCTCAGTCGGTGTAGTGACTGACTACGGACTGGACGATCGCGGTTTGATCTCCGATAGGGGCAGAGCATTTTCTTCTAGTCTCTGTATTCAGATCGGCTCTGGAGCCCATCCAGCCTCCTATCCAATTATTCAATTGGTATCTTGGGGGGTGGGGGGGGTCCTTTCCCCGGGGGGCAAATTGCGACAATCACTCCCATCTAGTGCCGAGGTTGGAAACGATTTGGAGCTGTAACTTCCTAAGCACCTACGTGACACATAGAAGGCTAGTTTCAATGTCGCTCTCTCTCCGATGCTCACTGGCTCGTGTTTCAAACGTTTTTTTCACATGATGAAGTTGATATCATCTTAGATTTTAGAGCTATTTCTGTTTTTCTTTAAAAGAAGGCTGTGAAATGTGAAAAAGCTCACCATTATATGTATTAAAATTTCTCTGCATATAAATGCAAAGACATTTATGTTCTGGATAAGGAGTTTGCTATTGCAACACTTTTGGCATTCTTTCTGTGATGCGAAACAGTGTCACAGTAATCGATTTTCCTGCTGTAGAGGTTATCGATATATGATATTCGCTTAGACAGTAAATGTGGAATTATGCCACGTATTTGAAATGAATGCATAGATCCATTACTTTTGGTTCTTAGTACCCTAATATTCTAATGAAAGATAGTAAATTAATTTGGAGAGTTTACATTTTTACTGTAAATTACAGAGCCAAGGTATCGTATGATAAACAGCCATGAGCTTTAGATTTTAAGCTAATGACCAAAACTCATTCTTTCAACAAATAACTGCGTCTTGCCTCAAGAATTTATTTGTAGGTTAAGTGTTTTGAAATCATCCCTTAAAAAAAGCTGTTGTCAGTGACTGAAATATGAGCCACGTCACGACACATCAGGGTCTGATCTAACCTAAGATTCACTCTTGAGACCGTCCTGTTCATCCACAGATTCTTGAAGAGTTTGTGTTTTGCGTGTTTCAGTACAAATACCTTGAGGAAAGTGTAGTCTTTTATCACTTCCGTTCGAAATATTATTCCTTCCGGCGTGATTTACTCACCAGAAGCCAACATCACGACCAACACACAAACTGATTTTACTGCGTGCCCCATTTCGTCGGCGTTTGGAACAAAACTGACGTTACAATAATTTAATCATCTACTGAGAACCTGGTCTGATCGTTTGTAATTTATATCCACGTACACCTCGGCCTTGGAAAAATTACTGATGTCATAAAAGATACGCTGTTGTGGATACGGTATTAATAGAAATTTGCCCTCTTAAGTCTTATCTTTATTCTGTCAGGATGTCATGCTTTGACCGTTCGTCATTGCGTACAGCGAAATAAACAATTTGCGTGCACAGTTATCTCTGCCTTCATCCTACACTGTCAGTTAAGATTTATGATCTATTATCCTTAAGATATCTCTCTCCCATAATTTGTCTCAGATAATACGTAGTAATTGCTAATTTAATTTTATCCCATTTTCCTTGAGGAGCCTACTCTACCAAACTTTGTGTAGTTATGTCGAGTGTCACAAAGAATTCTAATGTTACAATGACTTCACTGTTTCCCTTTTGGACGACGTAAGCAATTATTATATACCTACGTAAAGTAATCTAATTACGGGGGGTTATAATAATCACATATAACATATTATTTTTTTTAGTGTTCTGTCTGACGACAGGTCCATATGAACAGGATCCTTCCATCCTTTTCTCGGACTGGGACCTGTTCATATACGTTCTTGGCAGATGATCCAGAAGTGCTTTGCCATTGCCTTCTTCTGTGTGTATGGAGTAATGAGTAATTGTTGGGATGCCACGGAGAAAAACTCCGTGTTGCCTAGCCCACGGCCTTGCCCAACACAAGTTATAAATTCGGACACCGCCGGGAATCGAACCCGAGACCCCAGGATTACAAGGCCAGCGTTCTAACCGCTAGACCACCGTAGCGAACGTATTGTTTACATGTTAATAATTACAAATATGACGACGATATTGTGAGTCTTTGAGGTTATAACTGACAATTTTAATGTAGTCTGAATCTATATTAAAGGAATTACTCACAAATGAACTCCTAATGGTTTAAATACTAATTCATATTTGCTGTTTAAACATCTGAAAAAAGTAGTCTTCATAACTTTTCATATGGTCTTGTCAGAACATGAAATATCGTGCTGAGCGAGAGACTTCAAATATACACCAACTGAAAATAATGCAACATATTTTTACTGGTGTCATATCTCCACACCTGATTTAGGCCTAATTGTTATGCTGCCTTATCGCATGTCCTCTCGAAGTAGGCAATGAAATATCCTCGTTCTTCTGTACTGATACGGAGTGTCTCAAAACGACGAGTACGTGTTCAAAATTACCACCTTCAGCTTTGTGGTACAATTGACAACGGTGTGGAAGTGACTGACAAGCGGCCAGCGTATTATATTGTATATACATCTTTTTGGGACATTCTGTTTTAACCCCCCCATTCGGGGGGGGGGGTTGGTTGGTTTAGTTTTTACTCAAGATTTTAAAACTTGACCAACCCCCCGAGGAGCTCCGAAAGGAGCGCTCTGCTATAGTTGTTATAAAATTTCAGAACCTTCTATGCTTATTTTAGAACGTGTATTGTTTTGTTTACCCCTTTAGTGCGGGATCTGTAATGTTGCAGATGCCCTTCAATCTCTCGATGAACTAAACATGTATGGCCTCGCGACATGTGTTCGGAACGGCGCAAGTTTTATAAGTGGCGGAAGGGGAGGTTACAACTACAACCATCACCATACCAACGGTGAAACGCGCTTTCTTCCATTAATAACGTACCTCATCTGGGTTTGTTTCCAAGATTTACAAGTATTCATAGTTGTGCCCACAGTTTCGGTTTTGACATACAATATAGATTTAATTATATCGTTCGTAATCTTTTATAACGCGTAGAATATTTATAAACTTTGAGATTGGTTTGTATTTGAATTGTTTACCTTAGTGTAAGTTTTAAGTTTTGACGGGAGAGAGACTTGTTGAAGCATGCGCATTCAAGATATGTAATTTAAATTATGGCCACTTCGTCATATTAAGATGTCTCCAGGCTACGTGAAAAGCGAGCCTGTTAAAGTAATAAAGCATGTTAGACAGGAGAGTGTTAGGGTCTCAGTAGATTTGACTTTATACTTTTAACCTTGGATGTTAAATAGTAACTGTTCTCCACCTTTAAAGACTTAGAGCCACGTTTATGCTTTCTTATAAACTCGCGAGCCCCCGGGTTATAAATGCCTGCAATATATTGCAACTTAATGGCGATCTATTAAACGTGCTAATAACTTAATTTCTCAAACAGATTTGTGTAGGAATTAATAACTGTCTTTACAGATTTGTTGCTTTGTTCATTTAAAATTAAATATTCAGTTTAGGCTGTAACTATTTTTCCTTTTACAAATTGACAATATTAAAAGAAATGCACTTATGTAGCACACAACACATGGCAGGTGACGGGTTGGGTCCTCGCTTTGTAGGTTGACCGCTAGACAGATTTTAACATACAGTTATCGGAATAAAAAAAGTTTCGCTCGGTAACCACGTTGTTTTGGGTTTTCATATAAAATTACTTTAATAAAATATAAATGAATATCACGGTACATGTTATCAAAACTCGCTTTGTAATCCCTATTTATTTAGTTTCGAAGTGTCACCAATTTACTTCAGAACAGTACTTTAATAATTGAATATAACCAAGCCATTGTTAGTTGTTTCTATTTTTAGGATCTCACTAATTTACTTCATAATTGAGCACATCCTTTTAATAAAAAAAATAGCATCTAACCCCAACAATTTTAATTATGGTTTGGACTTTTCATTTTGTGTGCAACATGATAGGGTGGTATGGACTGGATTCATCTGGCTCAGGATAGGTACCAGGGTCGGGCTCTTCTGGACACGGTAGTGAATCTCCGGATTCCATAAAATGTTGGGAATTTCTTGAGTGGCTGAGCTACGTTTGGCTTCTCAGGAAGGACTCGGCTCCATCATGTAAGGCTTATTTTATTGCAGCAATAAATTACGAAATGCGTTAAATTTTTATAATGCCTGTTTCTTTATATCTGCTTTGGAATTGCTATTTGTTTTCAATTTAATCTTTCCGGCAAGCCTAATAAATTGCTCAGGTATTTAGATTCTTAAAAAAATATTCTGCTGCAATTCTGGAAGTATTGTAAGATATCCTCAGAAGTATAAATAATATCTATGTCCATTGTGCTATGTAGGTTTGAAACGCGCGGAAATCTTTTATTGTGTTTTTATGAACGGGAACTTTCAGAAGGAGCTGAAAGGGGATCCTTTGGGACATATTGCGACTCGAAAAAACTTCAAAATAAAATGTCACTAGAGAAAAGTAAATAAACCCACCAAACGACCAAAAGTATATTGACATTTGAGAAGCTTCTACAGAATTCTGATATAAAGTCTGATGGCAGGGACATACCACGTTGAATCTGAATGAATGTAAAGGTGTTTAAACACAGACATACTGCCTGGAAGAAGTAACCAGACATTTAAAAAAGCTTCAGTCGGGGTAGTAAAGTGAATAGCCACCGGCTGAACGACTCTGGTTCGACGCCCTGCAGGAGAATAATCTATCTCTTCTTCACCACATCCAGGCCCTTTCGTTACTAAGCAGTAAGGGCTATTTGTCGGGGGTCAAGCAGTCGGAACTAGATGGATGACTTGTACTAATTGTTATTTCCTCGTTATCATAATATCGTAATTGGTTATTCGCTTCGACCCAATTATTTTCATCACTACATTAGTTTAAAATGCTATAATTCATAATATGTTCTCAAAAGAAAAGATACATTCTTACGTGTATGCAATGAAAATGGAATAAGCACTTTTTTAAGTTCCGATCGAATATGCTCTGGGAAGTCCACAGCGCAATGACAGTTTTCGAACTGAACAGTAACAGCATTAATTTAAAGACCTTATTATTTTTTCTGATTACATTATTAAAATGATTTGTGTCTGTGGTTAAATACGATTTTCGGGTACATTTTCAAACATTTGAAAATGTTTTATTACATACAATTATTAAGAATTT